CTTATGAATGCAACAAAACAAAAACAAAACAAAAAACAACGTTTGTTGCGCATGCTCCTTATATAAGGACAAAATATTGACTTTTTATTCAGATATTCAGAATCAGAGCTGAACAGTTGTAAGACAAAACTCCTGTTTTTTTTTTAAACAAAGAATTAGGTTAACTATTTACAGAGTTATTGTTCCACGAAACCAATCCAATAACATTAACATTACCTAATCTACTGATGCGCAATTCGTCTCTCTTAAAGTTCTCATGCGCTATCGAGAACGTTTTTCATTGTCTATTATTTTTTTTTTGTCTCTTTATATGTGTTTTATATTTCGACGATTGGAGGAAATAAAGACTTAAAAATGTATGTCAGCAAACAATACATAATATAGTGGTCAGCTAAATGTCTTCTTAAACCTTGTTTTTAAAAGTTGACGGAAGGTCAAAGTTGAAGTCCGTGAATATGAATAACTTAATTATTAAATCGAGTCTTTGCCATTTACATTACAATCGATCGTTATCGGAAGAGTTCATTGTTTTATCATGTTTATGTTGTAGAGATACTCATCATCAATGGGTTAGATATTGACAAATATATCCGAATCAATTACAGCTATTAAGTGTCCATGACAGTAACTTTGTCACGCGGTCTAATCTAAATCCTTAATGCCGACCGTTGTTCAATACTAAGTATTCCATTCTGAAAATATATCCGATAGAAAAGGCGAGAGAGATACCAAAGGGACAATCAAAATGCATAAGACGAATAAAAAGGGACTAGAGAGTAACCAAAAGTACAATCAAAAGTCCATTCGTCACAACTCGGCCGATTCCGTACTTTCATCTAAAGATAGAAGGAGAGTAGCGGATTCACCCGAGGATTGCCGATTGTCAAAAGTCATAAGTCAAATAGAAACTGAAAACACTATGACTAAACAACTTCACAAACGACAAGACGGAAAGACAAACAGACGATTAAGAGATTGTCATATATACATATATATGCATGGATGCTGTTAAAAACTGAAAATGTTTAAAATGACAAATCTAAGATGACTTTTTTGTGTTGTTAGGTTGTCATAGCATTGTTTTATATTAATATCACCATTTATTAATATTCATATCTTCAATTACGCTCATTTGGATGGACGCAAAACACGTACATGCATTTAAGAATGACTGTAATATTTTTTTTCTCAAAAAATGTGGTGTACACGTCTGAATAACCCGCGTAGCGAGTTATTTAAAAGTATGCACAGATTTTTTTTTTTTTGTTATTTCGAATAGACAGAACAAATATTACAGTCATTCCTTATAATTTAATTAGAAATTTCATTTTTAAAGAGTCACATGACAAAATTGAGCTGATAGAGTCTTTGAGCTGATAGACAAAAAACTTTCAGCCTATCAGAAGACGTGTTACATCCAATATTATAAATTATATGACAAATAATATCACAACACACAAATAGACTTACAAAGTTTATATCGAAAGAATTACCGTTGAATTTTCACAAGGCTAAATACTGTTTTTATAAAGTCACATACCACCACAAAAGTATAAATTAACGGCCAAGAATTTCATATATACTATTTGTGAATTTGGAGACCTAGTGTCAAAATTCAATATTGTATTTCAAAGTTCGATGAATGAATTGTTTTACTTTTCTTTGACTGTTAATGACGTCTTTACAACAAATCAATTGAATTTTGGATGTGTATTGATTGAAAGTTTAGTTTTTAATTCATGATATATTTAATATTAGTTGTTATTGACTTTGAACTACCTGTCAGTAACTGCGAGTAATCTCAGATCTGTACTTTGTATCTTTTGTGTTCGTGTTAGTTGTTATTGACTTTGAACTAACTGTCAGTGACTGCGAGTACTCTCAGATCTGTACTTTGTGTCTTTTGTGTTCGTGTTAGTTGTTATTGACTTTGAACTAGCTGTCAGTAACTGCGAGTACTCTCAGATCTGTACTTTGTGTCTTTTGTGTTCGTGTTAGTTGTTATTGACTTTGAACTAGCTGTCAGAAACTGCGAGTACTCCCAGATCTGTACTTTTTGTCTTTTGTGTTCGTGTTAGTTGTTATTGACTTTGAACTAGCTGTCAGTAACTGCGAGTACTCTCAGATCTGTACTTTGTGTCTTTTGTGTTCGTGTTAGTTGTTATTGACTTTGAACTAGCTGTCAGTAACTGCGAGTACTGTCAGATCTGTACTTTGTGTCTTTTGTGTTCGTGTTAGTTGTTATTGACTTTGAACTAGCTGTCAGTAACTGCGAGTACTGTCAGATCTGTACTTTGTGTCTTTTGTGTTCGTGTTAGTTGTTATTGACTTTGAACTAGCTGTCAGTAACTGCGAGTACTCTCAGATCTGTACTTTGTGTCTTTTGTGTTTGTGTTAGTTGTTGTTGACTTTGAACTAGCTGTCAGTAACTGCGAGTACTCTCAGATCTGTACTTTGTGTCCTTTGTGATTGTGTTAGTTGTTAGTTTGCTTTGTATCGATCTTGGAGAGTTAAGCCCTTTTCAACTGATATTTATTATAATAGTTTCTTCTTATGTTGTCTATTGTTTTACATTTGTCATTTCTGGGCCTTTTATAGCTTACTATGCGGTAAGGGTTTTGCTCATTGTTGAAGGCCGTTCGGTTACCTCTAGTTAACTTCTACGCCATTTGGTCTCCGGTGGAGAGTTGTCTTTTTGGCATTCGTATCACGTCTTTTTATTTTCATATAATGATTGTTGTTATTATTAAAATTACAATAAAGGGAGAAAATTATATTAAATACAATACAACAATACATTTTCACCTGTCCACAGTGGGGTAGTCCGATAAGGGGACCGAAAAAAAACCTTTTAAAAGTCCCATGTGATAATCCTATAACAGAGGCTGATACAGGATAAACGTTGATGGCGTACGTCCCCTTTTGACACAATTTTTTTCTATCACGATTTTTAGAATATTTTAGCACATAATTGTCTAAAAAACATTCCGCCTTGCTCAGCTCGGCAGTATATATTACGTTTTATGCAATTCAAGTCCCCTTTCAAAAGTTATGGATCCGTCCCTGTATAGATAGGACATGCCCTTTCTTTTTTTTCTTCTCTCATAATCATCATAATACTTGAACTTATTTTACATTAAAAAAAATAGACAAGCTCAGTTTTGAGTTAGATATTTTGAAATACATCTGTAGTCAAATTTCAGCTAGCAGAAGAACTACTACTATCAGATTCCTACATAATTATATCATCAATAAAGAAAGAAGACAGTATCATATCTATATGTAGTATTCTTTCCATACAAGAAATCGTTACTTCTTAAGATAGCGTTAAGAAATTCCAATGACATATCGGGGGATGAATGCTTCAGTTTCTTTAATGTTATTGACAATTAAATCTAAAATTAGATTAGTTTGACGGTAATGCTTTGGAATATAGTCCCTTGTGGTTTTACATAACTTGTAATAGTTAGGTAATTGGATATAACACATAACGTAAGCTTCAACGCTCTATACGTCTTAATTGCACGTGTCACGATGAGGCTCCAGAGGGAATACATACTGTAGTTGTAAGCTATCAAAATAAATGATTGATGGGTGAAATAAAATGAGATCATGTGACGGTGACGTCCACTGACAGACATAAAACATAATCGTTTGATGCTATTAAGATCGACAAATCACATACATGTTTATTTTTTCCGTTGAATTGGTGTCTAATTTGAGATATGTGTATTGTATTTTAAGCTTGGTCAACGTAAAACGTAAGTTTTACTATCGCAAATTGAGTTTACCAAGCATGTGACTTTTTTTTTAATGAACGTTTCTTTTATCTATCGTATGATAGATATATGTAAATATATACTAGTTAACTTTACTAAGACCCCCTTTACACTTGTAAAACTTTAAATGTAAATGGGAAAGATCGATCTTCAATCAGAATTAAAAAATCCACCTCCAGATGTGGTTTAAAAAGATCGATCTTATTTGAATCGATCTTTCTTCAAGTGTAAACGCTTGGATCGATCGCGATCGATCTTTCTTCAGTTGAATGTTATATTTAACTGGATATGAAAATAAATCTGCGCACATTTGGCGACAAAAACACACGTGTTCTAAAAAACGATGGATGGGATAATAAAAGTAAATATGGATTCTACCGTTGTTGGATCATTCTTCTCAATCGATAAATTCTATTTCTTAGCTGCAAAACCTCATCTTCAAAGACAGAGACCGAATGACTTCTGACGTATGAACCAAAAAGATATTTAATATCTGCATACACAATTCCAATGATCCAACTATTTTCTACATGATTTTGCAGTGTGTCATAGTGCGCGCGAAATGCAAAGTCACGTTATTCTACTATTCCTTTTTTACCATTATTTGTTTACGAAATGTAAAGTAAATAGGACAAACCGGTTCTTTTTAAGTTGCAGTGTAAACGCACTAGATTAAATAAGATCGATTTCGATCGATCTTGCTTGTGCATATGTAAATCGAACTGGTCTCTAAGATCGATTCAAATAAAGATCGGTTCAAATTCGTACAAGTGTAAAAGGGGTCTAACAAACCCAATTTCAATAAAGGGATATGTAAGGTAAATGTAGAAAAGACAGCAACTCAACGATACAAACAAATGAATTTATTACAGTTTCCGAATCGCAGTATTGTATTGTGGGTAATAATATTTATAGTGTGTACACAAAGAAAGAAAAAACAAAACAAAACGTTCTGATTCGTCTTCAGTCGACATACTTCTTTTTGGTCGATATATCCACGTGTCGACCTTATACAAAGGCTGTTATTGTATTTTATATATATAGATCATATGTACATAAATCATTCCCCACGTGGAGTTCAACATGTTTTAACTCACATCTTTACTGCTTGAAAGGAGAACTCTGTTATTCAATTAAGAACAATGAGAGTTATCTCCCATGCTTCAAAACTAAATTGATTAATTGACAGTAGCAGTAATATTATCGTTTTTTTTTTTCCAGAAAGCAATGGTCTTATGTGTTATAAATGTGAAAATGAACGAAACAACTTTCTGTGTGTAGGAGAATATAATCTGAAGCAATGTGATTCAGGATTCGATACTTGTCAGACGACCGTGTCATACTCAGGTAAATATAATCTAAAGCAATGTGATTAATGATTTGATACTTGTCCGACGACAGTGTCTTACTCAGGTATAATATAATCTGAAGCAATGTGATGCGAGATTCAATACTTGTCAGACGACAGTGTCATACTCAGGTATAATTTATATTATATGAAACAATGTTATTTAGGATTCGATACTTGTCAGACGAAGGTGTCATACTCAGGTATAATATAATCTGAAGCAATATGATTCAGGATTAGATACTTGTCAGACGAAGGTGTCATACTCAGGTATAATATTATCTAAAGCAATGTGATTCAGGACTCGATACTTGTCGGACGACAGTGTCATACTCAGGTTTAATATAATCTGAAGCAGTGTGATGCAGGATTCAATACTTATCAGACGACAGTGTCATACTCAGGTATAATATTATCTAAAGTAATGTGGTACAGGATTCTATACTTGTCAGACGACGGTGTCATTCTCATGTATAATATAATCTGAAGTCATGTGATTCAGGATTCGATACTTATCAGACGACGGTGTCCTACTCAGGTATGATATAATCTGAAGTCATGTATTTCTGGATTCGATACCTGTAAGACGGCTAAGTCATACTCAGGTATAAATAATCATACAGAATATAATCTGAAGTCATGTGATACAGGTTCGATACTTGTCAAACAACAGTATCATACTCAGGTATTAAATTATCTTAAGCAATGTGATTCAGTTTTCGATACTTGCCAAACAACAGTGTCATACTGAGGTATAATAAAATCTGAAGTCATGTGATTCAGGATTCGATACTTGGCAGACAATAGTGTCATACCCAGGTATAATCCGTAGAATATAATCTGAAGTCATGTGATTCGGGATTCGATATTTGTTAGATAAAAGTTTCATACTCAGGTTTTAATCATATAGAATGTAATCTGAAGTCATGTGATTCAGGATTCGATACTTGTCAAACAACGGTATATTCAAAGTAATGTAAAATTTGTAATTTGTATCAACAAGACTTCAAAACAACATGTACCGCTAAATAATGTTACACAGTAATAGTATAAATATAATGCATATGTTGTGTACAAGTTGTAATTTCGTACAAATTATAATTTGTACAGGGTTTTTGTACAAGTTATCAGTATTTTGACACACACCTTCTTTCACCAGGTGATACAAGTTTATCTTTAATATTTATCCAGTTTGATGTTTTACTCACAAATGTATATATTTCAACCTAACATTAAGCACTGTCCACTATATCATAAAACTACAAATAAGGACACATCATTGGTTTAGATTATATTTTTATTTTTTGACTAATACCAAATTCTATGTCCACAAAATATAGTTTAGTGTTTTTATATAAACTTTGTGTCAGTACTATTTGCAAGACTGTAGCGTGTAGTTGTAGAAATAAACAAGTGATAAGCTTAACCAAAGACACTGTGCTTATTTTTTCTAATTATATAAAGAATTTCATAAAATACTGATAACTTGTACAAAAATACTGTACAAATTATAATTTGTACAACATTACAATTTGTACACAACACATATAAGCAAGTCTAAATTGAAAACAACGTTCAAATCTATGATTGCGTTGAATAAAAACCACAATCTTTATAGGTGTGCCTGCAAAACAAATTTCTTGGTAGAGGGGTCTAAATACAGCACAAACAACATTTTCCAAAAGACCAAAAAAGTGAAAAAGTATATTTTAACAAAACGCATTTGACTAGCAGGTCGAACAACGGATGTCCCTGCTGACTGCCATTGGCGATTGCCAAATAAACGGATCACCAGATGTAACAAAATGGATCTTAACTATTAATTAAATACCAAACATGCGGAAAAGATGGTATACCGCAAACATGAGGTGCCAAAATTAGTACACCATATCCGCAATTAATGTCTCTTCAGTGATGTTAGGAATCGAAACGGTATTTGGAAGGCCATATAATTTACCTCAATTCAGGATAGACTCTTGAATTTTGAAGAGTCGTAATAGGATGAACGGATCATATAAACCCGAAGGCAAATATAATACAAGTCCCAACGAAAAAATATAAACAGGTCTAAATTGAAAACAACGTTCAAACCTATGATTGCATTGGATAAAAACCGAATATAAGGACATATATATAGTTAACAAAACGGAAAATGCGCAACATTTATCGGATTATTCAAATTTGATCTTTTGGGCTATCTTAAAAAAATTAAATATTTTTGATAAATAATCAGAAGTAAACCAGAAGTCATGAAATTCAGCTGTGAAATGTATCAAAATAAAATTAGGCATTGTTTCGAGGGAATTGCGGGCTTCAATTAATAATTTGCTGGTTGCAAATTTTGTTTACTGGTGACGGGCAAGAAAAATCAACGTTAATTCTTTTAATGTGTGCATTTGTAATGAATGACAATACAATATGTTATTGTCTTTGTATTTTTAACCAATTTTGAGTGTGTGGATGGGGGTTAACAGAATAGGGAATAATGGGCAAATGATATAGATAATTAAAATATAGAAAAATAAGCCAAGAAAACAAAGAAAAGAGAATAATGAAGTGCTAAAATATAAAGAATAGAGAATAATGAGGTCCTGAAATATAAAGAATAGAGAATAATGAGGTCCTGAAATATAAAGAATAGAGAATAATGAGGTCCTGAAATATAAAGAATAGAGAATAATGAGGTCCTGAAATATAAAGAATAGACAATAATGAGGTCCTGAAATATAAAGAATAGAGAATAATGGGCAAAAATTATAAAGAATAGAGAAAAATAGCCTAAAATATCACAGAATACAATTTCAGATCATCTATCGTGGAATTTATGCCTTTTGTCGCGTTAACCAATCACAATATATGATTTAAGAACTCTAACAAAATATCCCTGATCTGGAATGAATTCAAAGGAAATCGGCCCTGCATGATAAATTGGACGTAACTGTGCGATTAATCATACCTTTAAACGATTGCAATCTAGGTACAGTTGTTTAAATTCTAACTGGGTCCGAAGCAAGCATGAACACGTGAGAAGTCTGTTATTAATTTATGAATCATAAAAATTCACCGAAGCTAACCTGGTGATCGAAAACGCAAGAAGTTCTAACATACGATCGACCACATTGTTTTCTTCTAAAATAAATAGAATGAAATCAAAGAATTCTGCACCGTTGAAATCTGTAAATGAATTTAAATTAGAACAGTGTGACCTATTTTTAACCAAATATTAATGTCTGTACAATATCGGATTCCTGCTGTTTTCACGATTGTTCAATAAGTTTCTTTGTACTACCGTCTAAAGTCCTTATACATTTAAATAATGACGCTATTGCTATGAACAAGTGAATGCGATGACTTTTTAACAGTAGGTAATGCCAAAAGCCATGAACGACCGGAACAGGTTATGGAATTCAATCATTACTCCAGGTGCTGTTAATTATGTGTTTGGGCATTACATTGTACCAACTTTTTTTTTGTCATACTTTTTTCCCGCTGATACATATAATTAACCTTGCTTCAACTAGCGAAAGTTCCATTAGTAAGAGGTATTGTGTTTAGAAACCTGTTCGAATCATGTCAGTTTTTTTCGTTATTACTAATGTGAATTTGATGACTTATTTCACTCGTTAATTTATTCACAAATATATTGTAAAAAAGTGGTCCTTTTTATTTTGTACGGACGAAATGTGGAGTATGCCTCAATGAGTCAGCAACCGATCAACACAAGTAAACAGAAGACATTGAGGATTATACTACGTATTTCATTCTCTTATAGATATTTTGTTAAGAAGCAGATACGACATATTTAAATTATTATCATTTACCATAACTTTAACATATTAAGTGATGTGTTATTTGTTTTCTTTTTACAGAGGTAAGCGAACAGCTTTCAATAATCAAGACCTGTACGAAAAATTCCTCGTGTCACCTGCAAATAAAAGAACATTCGGAATCCGACCCATGTGATCAAACAGGAAGTAGCTGGATATGCACCACCTGTTGTAATGAGGACGCATGTAATTTAAACAATGCACCTAGTAAAGCGTCGTTTTCATCCGTTCTGTCATATATGAATATATTTTTGTATTTATACATTAAATGTATTGTATAAAATCTACTTTGTCTTTATCATTGTAACTTCAAAATAACCAATATAAATTATAAAGTTACTAGTGAGCTGATACGACATTATAAAACGTATACGCTTTCCTATTGGCACCAACTAAACTCCTTTAATATGAGACTTGCTACTGTAGATTGGCAGTTTAAGGCTAAACGCTATAGAGCTCCCTGGATTATTAAATAAATGCACCTGAGATCACCCCTAGTTTTTGGTGGGGTTTGTGTTGCTTAGTCTTTAGTTTTCTTTGTTGTGTTTTGTGTACTATTGTTTGTCTTTTTATAGCCATGGCGTTGTCAGTTTATTTCCGATTTATGAGTTTGAATGTCCCTCTGGTATCTTTCGCCCCTCTTTTATTATAGATACAAAAATTAACAATTTGCAGCTCTCTCACTCTCTAATCTTTGTGCTATTTAATTTATATTGGCGATGTCACCATACAAAAGGGTTCCATTAGGGTGGGGGGTTGAACTAGAAAAAGCGTAGTCAACAAAAAAAATCTCATGTGATACCACTTTTTCAATCTCCTGTATCTTTTTAACTATCTATACTTCGAAAGTAACGAGATCCAACTTTTTTAGCCCGCTTAATGTAAAAACGATGAATCAAATAATTCAACTTTATATATAACTAATATAGGACAATGGTGTTGATAAAAAATTATATTTAATATTACCAATAATTAACAAGTCCCGGGTCGAATCTGACACCGATACCAATAGAACATGTTACCTGTTACCTAATCTGGACGTTCATCCTCTGTCAGGCGCACCACCAAGCGGTGTAAATGGGATTATCTATATACACGGGTCATAATCATACACGAACTTCGTCATTATACATGTATATACAGGAATTCAATCATTGAACAAAAAATTAACATGTATCAACAAGTAGTTTCCGGTTGTAGTAAGAAAACCAGGACGAATTCAAACAGAAAGATTTTGAAAGCAGAGAAAACTGTGCACCTTATAATCAGCATGACTTTATCAAATGACAATACAAAAACTAAACATCCAGGCTGAAAATAAGGCGTAGGTACTGTAATTAAGTCACGAACCCGCGATGCCACAGGTGTGTTCTAGTATATTATATACATATAGATAGATAGACGTGTCATTTAAAAAAAATCTACTAACAGTTTAACTGTTAAATATGTGCACTTAAATTCAACCAGCTTTATGTCGTATTTTCAACATGTGTTCAAATTTTAAACGCCTTGAGGTGGCTCTAAACGTTTGTTTTACCAGTGGACACTAAACAAGCAACAATAAAGCATTCCTTTTATTCATGTGTATAATGAATTTCTTGTCTATAAAGAGGAAATTGATGCATTGATTTACATAGTCCAGTTTATTTATCACACTCGGTTAATGATTCGTGGTCATCACTGGTCATCTTCTTGCATAAATTAAAGATACATCAATACAGCAGATGGGAGTTCTTTTTCATACACAATTGCATATATACTAGGAACAAATGTGAAACAATATGAGAAATTTAATTATTTTCCTAGTTTTAGGCCTACTTTTGATGTTTAGAAACCAACACATAGTATATAATTTATTACAATTTTATGCACGAGTGGAACAACCCATATTTGACAGTAATTGTAAGTATCAATTGTTTTTCCAAAGGAGGAATCAGATTCTCTCATCAAATTATTTATTTTCTAAGTATATGTAATGAAAATTAGTATTTTGTTTTAATAACAGGATTCAGAGTTGATCAAAGACTCCTGTAAATTCCTGTATTATTTGTACGATGTAAAAACCATGCTTTAAGCACAGAAACAGAACTAAATAACGCCATTCCTCTTTATTTAAGTAAAGTCGTAAATAATTATGTCTGTGTGGAGGTAATGTGTTATAGTATAATTGCCAACATGTCCATTATTATTTAGCGAAGAGCACTGATTACGCATCCGAAAAGATGATTGTCCAATTTCCCCTGAATTTATTTCACACAAGGGCCGATTCCAAAAAGATTTTCAATCTGTTCTACTAATGATCAGAATAACAACTTCTTGTTTATGTAACGACACGATGACCTATCTAACTATGACCACTCGATAACGTAAGTATGACAACACGATGACGTAAGTATAATAACGCAATGATGAAAGTGTAACAACAAGATCACTTTGTTAAAACGATGACGTAATTATGATAACACGATTACGTAAGAATGACAACACGATGACGTAAGTATAACAACACACGATAACGTAACTTAAACAACACGATGACGTAAGTATGACAACACGATGGCGTAGGTATTTGAAAAACGATGACGTCATTGTTATCACTCGATGACGTAAGTATGACAACACGATGACGTAAGTATGACAACACGACGAAGTAAGTATAACAACACGATGACGTAAGTGGTTAACTTGTTGAAGTGGAAATCTATTAAAATTATTAATTTGCCTGTTTTAAAAAAACGTTAGGGATGTGCATACACATATGTCACGTGATACGACTTTTGCTATCTCCACATTGAAACAACAACGTTCCTGGAACTCTCTTATATTCCTGTATTTTTTCAACTATATACATATATACAGATGGACGTGTCATTTAAAAAAAATCACAGTTTTTAAAACTGTTAAATGTATGCCCTTGTATTCAACAAGTCATGCCATATTTTTAACATGTGTTTAATTTTCAAAAGCCTTGAGGTGGCTCTAAACTATTGTTCTGCTACCGGACGCTAGACACACAACACTTAATCAATCTTCAATTCATATATAGAAATAAGAAGATGTGGTATGAGTAACAATGAGACAACTCTCCATCCAAGTCTCAATGTGAAAAAGTAAACAATAATTATTAAAGATCAACGTACGGCCTTCAACACAGCCTTGGCTCACACCGAACAGCAAACTATAAAGGGCCCCACAATGACTTGTGTGAAACAATTCAAACAGGATATGTATGATGAATTTCATCTTCAAAAGTGGAAATTTATGCATTCATTTTTTCATACATAAGTATAACAACACGATAACATAACTTTAGCAACACGATGACGTAAGTATGACAACACGATGAAGTAAGTATGGCAACACGATGATGTCACTATTACCACTCGCTGACGTAAGTTTGACAACACGATGACGTTAGTATGACAACACAATGAAGTAAGTATAACAACACGATGACGTAAGTATAACAACACGATGACGTAAGTATGATAACACGAAGACATAAGTATGACACCTTGAAGACGTAAGTATGACTACACGATGACGTTGGTATGATAACACGATGACGTAAGAAGGACTACACGATAACGTAAGTATGACAACACGATGATGTTCGTATGACAACAGGATTGTGAGTATTATAACACGATGACGTAAGTATGACTACACGATGACATAAGTATAACAATAGGATGCCGTAAGAATAACAACACAATGATTTTAGTATACACGCATATGTGACCAAATCCTTAAAACTGGACAGTACTGGCAAACATTTAATCCGTTTATCGAAAACTGATTGCAGATTTTAAAAAAAAATGTGAATACAAAAGAATTTTTTTAGATAAAGTCATGAACATGCATAACAAAAAATTGCCCCATGACGTTCAGCCAACAACAACAAACCAATTTTATTGATTTGGTTTTATTCAAAAACATGTCATTGGGATTGTCTTTAAGCTGAGTAACCTTTTTAATTTCATGGTTAAATGTCAAATTGTTGAACATCTTGTATAATATATCAGTTAGATTGTCTATTTTCGTATCTATCTCTTATATTTATTTTCGCTTTCCTTCTCTCACTCATATTTATTTTCCGGTTTTAGATAACCAGAGAGCTTTCGATGTTGGTTCCCGTCCTGTACGCATATCCCACAACCATGCTTTATTAAGTGACAAGACATATTCAACAAGGGAAACTACTTTAACCAATGATGTTCATGAAGAAAAAACAAAAAATCAAACTTCGTTTAGATGTCCGGTGGAAAATTTGAATAACTGGAATTTCAATTGTAAAGTACCATGCGCAGATATGCCTGATATAACAAATATGTCGGACCACGTGCAAGCTCATATCAATTGTCAGATTATAAAACCTAATATAGAACTAATAAATGTTAAGCGAATGGCAACAGTTCAGGTTTTCCCGGAAAATTCCGAATGCCTCCAGACATTTGTAATGGAGAATTGTCATGATGAAGAACCGGTCCCAAACTTAGTTCATTACATTTGGTTTTCTAAACGAGATATGAATTTTTATCATTTTCTTAGTTTTCTTAGTGCCAGTAGATTTTTGAATCCGTGTCTTATTTTGGTACATGGAGACCGCCTTCCATTCGGAACATACTGGGAATATCTATTGACTTTGGTGCCAAATATAATGCATGTTCAAAGAAGTCCACCAGAAGATGTATTCGGAAAACCCCTTGGTAATATTGAACACAAAGCTGATATCGGCAGAATACAGGCTTTACAGAGTGAGTACATGCTCGCACATACTTATGCCGCACACCCTTTTACTTTGGTCTTTGGTAGATAAGGTGAGTACGTGCTTGTACATTCCTATATAGGTTTTCATCATTGTTCTTTTGTGTTTTGCGGATCGAGGGAGTGAATTCTTTTACATACCTATATTGGTTTTCATCCCTGTCATTTTTTAGTTGGTGGATAGAGTGAGTACATCCTTTTATATACCTGTAGTGACCCTCACATCATTGTTTTGTTGTATTTTGTGGATCGAGTGAGTATATCCTTTTATGTAGCTGTAGTGGCCCTCACATCCTTGTTCTTTTGTGTTTTGTGGATAGAGTGAGTACATTCTTTACATACCTATACTTGTTTTAATCCTTGTCATTTGGTATTTAGTGGATAGAGGGAGTACATCCTTGTACAAACCTGTAGTGACCTTAACATCCGTGTCCTTTTGTGTTTTGTGGATAGAGTGAGTAAATTCTTGATTATATACGTATAGTGACCCTCATATCCTTGTCGTGTGGTTTTTGATAGA